GGACAAATCTGCTATCTTCAATGATTTTCTTCAATGGTATGAGGATCGAAAGCCCTCCAGTTCCACTACTTCGTTGCCCACACAGGTACATCTTTTCTTGGTCCGACTCACTCTTCTTCTATTGGCCCTTGGGTTCTTGACTCAGGCGCCACCGATCACATCACCGGTAACAAATCCTTATTTTCCTCTTTCACTTCTTCTCATAATTTACCCTCTCGTTACAATGGCTAATGGGTCTACAACTTTAGCTCATGGTGTTGGAACGGTTACTCTTTTTCCCTCGTTGTCCATTGATAATGTTTTGTATGTACCGGGTCCCCCTTTAACTTATTATCCATTAGCTAGTCTAACTCGATCTCTTGATTGTGTTATCTCTTTTACCAAAACTTCGTTTCCCTACAGGACCGGAGCTCGCAAAGAGTGATTGACACCGGATGTGAGTCACATGGACTTTATTATCTTCAACCTTCTCCACATGTTGGCACAGTTATGGAGTCTCCTTCTCTCCTTCATGCTCAACTTGGTCACCCCGAGTCTGCGCAAATTACGACGAACTTGTTCCCAGCTTATCCCAGTTGTCCAATTTGGTGTGTGGGTCCTGTCGGTTAGGCAAACATAGTCGTACTTCCTTTTCTCGTAGTGTTTCCCAACGTGCTTCATCCCCCTTTGCCTTAGTTCACTCGACATTTGGGGACCCAGTCGTGTTAAGTCTAATTTAGGTTTTCAATATTTTGTTACTTTTATTGATGATTTCTCTCGTTGCACTTGGTTATTTTTAATGAAAAATCGTTCGAGTTGTTTTCTATATTCCAAAACTTTTATCATGAAATTAAAAATCAATTTGGTGTCTCTATTCAAACTTTTCGAAGTGATAATGACCAGTGAATATCTTTCAAACTCGTTTAAACAATTTATGGCTTCTCATGGCATTCTTCATCAAACTTCCTGTGCTTATACCCCTCAACAAAATGGGGTGGTTGAGCGCAAGAATAGACACCTTATTGAAACAACCCGTACTCTTTTAATTCATGGTGAGGTTCCTCAACATTTTTGGGGTGATGCTTGTTCTTACTGCTCGTTATCTTATTAATCGTATGCCCTCTTCGGTTTTAGATAACAAAATTCCCCATTCTATTTTATTTCCTCATGACACTCTCCATCCTTTACCTCTCGAAGGTTTTTGGTCTACCTGTTTTGTCCACAATTTTGATCCTGGTCATGATAAGTTATCTCCTCGATCACACAAATGTGTTTTCTTAGGATTTACTCGATCCCAAAAAGGATACAAGTGTTTTTCTCCTTCTCTTAATCGCTATTTTGTGTCTCGCCGATGTCACCTTCAATGAGTTTTCCTTTTACTTTAAGGACTCTTCCCTACCTGCTGAGTCTCCATCTCGTTACAGTTCCCATTCCTGTTCTCATTGATCCTTATGTTGAGGACCATCCACCATTAGCCCCTCCTCCTCCACCACCCCTTCAGGTTTATAGTCGCGAGACATCGCCCACAACGGACGCCACATGACTCACTCCCGGTGCCAAATACTCTACCTCCTCCGGTTCCAGTCCACGAGTCCGACCTTCCTATTGCCCTTCGTAAAGATACGCGTTCTACTCGTAATCCTTCTCCACATTATACTTGCTTTAAGTTATCATCGAATTTCTTCACCATTTTATACCTGTCTCTCGTCTATTTCTTCTATGTCTATTCCTAAATCTGTCTCTGAAGCCTTAGCCCACCCCGGTTGGCATCGGGCCATGCTAGATGAACTCGGTGCTCTTCGGACTAGTGGAACCCGGACGCTTGTCCCATTACCATCTGGAAAATCTGTTGTTGGTTGCAGGTGGGTCTTCGCTATCAAGGTTGGTCCCGATGGTACTATTAATCGCCTCAAAGCTCGCCTTGTAGCCAAAGGCTATACCCAAATTTTTGGGTTGGATTATGGTGATACTTTCTCTCCAAGTGGCAAAGATGGCTTCGTTCGTTTATTCATTGCCATGGCCGCTATTCAACAATGGCCTCTTTATCAACTCGGATGTCAAAAATGCTTTCTTGAATGGCGATTTGCAAGAAGAGATTTATATGGAGCAACCTCCGGATTTGTTGCTCGGGGGAGTCTTCTCGGATTGGTATGTCGTCTTCGCAAATCTTTATATGGCCTAAAACAGTCTCCTAGGGCCTGGTTTGGAAAATTTAGCAAGCATTGTTCAACAATTTGACATGACTAGAAGTGAGGCGGACCACTCAGTCTTTTACCGTCACTCGAATGCTTGGATGTATCTATTTGATAGTGTATGTCGATGACATTGTTCTTACAGGTAGTGACCATCATGGCATCTCTCGGATGAAACAACACCTTTGCCACCATTTTCAAACCAAAGATCTTGGCAAACTCGGATATTTCTTGGGTATTGAGGTAGCACAATCTACCGATGGCATTGTTATATCTCAAAGAAAGTATGCATTGGATATTTTGGAGGAAACTGGGTTGATGAATTCAAAGCCTGTTGACACACCCATGGATCCTAATACCAAACTCTTGCCAAATCGGGGAAGCCAATGTCGGATCCCGAACAGTATAGAAGATTAGTTGGAAAATTAAATTATCTTACGAGTTACTCGCCCGACATTTCCTTTGCAGTCAGTGTGGTGAGTCAATTCCTCAATTCTCCTTGTCAAGAACATTGGAATGCGGTCATCCGTATATTGAAGTACATCAAAAAGTCTCCTGGAAAAGGTTTGGTGTATGACTCCCATAATCATACAAGAGTTGTCTGCTATTCGGATGCTCGATTGGGCGGGATCTCCCTCCGATAGAAGATCTACATCTCGGGTATTGTGTTTCCATTGGTGGTAACTTGATCTCATGGAAAAGTAAGAAACAAAGTGTTGTGGCAAGATCCAGTGCGAAGGCGAGTATAGAGCTATGACCTCAGCTACTCGTGAACTTATTTGGCTCAAGCAATTGCTTAAAGAGCTACAATTTGGAGATGTCACTCAAATGACACTAGTGTGTGACAATCAGCTGCTCTCCATATAAGCTCTAATCCTGTCTTTCATGAGAGGACTAAACACATTGAGATTGACTCGCCATTTTATTCGGGAAAAGATTATGTCTGGAGACATCAAGACTGAGTTCGTTAACTCATGTGATCAATTAGCAGATATTTTCACTAAGTCTTTACGGGGACCTAGGATGGATTATCTTTGTACCAAGCTAGGCACATACGATTTGTATGCTCCAGCTTGAGGGGGAGTGTTAGATATGATTAGATATTAGTTGATATTGTTTGATATTGTTTGATATTGTTGAGATATTGTTAGATATTGTTAATCACAATATCAAATAATATCTTTTTATTTACCCTATTTGTATTATGTTACTCTTTTGAGGAGTACCTTTCTTTATTATAAATACACTGCCCTATGTGTGGTAAATATACAAGAGAAATTAACCCTATACAGTTTTTCCCTATATTCAACAAACACAATCCGCACCACAATTGGCCATTATTGCTCCCCATGCTTTGTGACTGTCTCATTTCTACATGATTCAATCCCTTATAGAGACTCCTTTATAGTGTTCATAGAACTTGTGTGAAGTGGGTGTTGGTTAAGAATATTGACTTCCCTATATAAATTCCTTGTGCAATATTTGGAGATTCTGAGTGTAATTTAGAGAAATCTCGGTAGAAATTGGCTCCATTTACTCATTCATTAATATGCTATTGATTCCAAAAGATGATGCCAAATCTTCTTTGGTAGTGCCTATTGAAATCATGAATTCAAAATCTAAGTAAAGATTCACCATTTTGTTTGGGATTTGTCAAATTAGGGTGACCGACCCATTTGTGCCACTCATTGTGAGTGAGGTCAAATACATTCATTAGGTGCATGTATCGTTAGCTTAAATAGTACATAAATTATTGTAAATCTTCTGATATTTGTGTCTAATTCCTACAAATAAATAACAATACTCGCTTAACAAGTTAAAAGTTTCTATGTGATTGTTTAATATTTTCTATTAACGGCAAAATTTGAACTGAAGATCTTAAGTAAGTGATACAAATTCTTTGTTAAGCAAACTCTAGTGGGTTATTCATGAACTAATTGATAACTGTTTTTAAGAGATAGGTTTTTTATCAGCTTCCCAGAGGGTTATTCTTTACAGAAGTTATTTAACTTAGTTCAAACCTTGTTAACTTGCTGTAATCTAATTCCTTCACATACATTTAGTCAATATATATTTTTGCAATTATGCCTAACAATATTAATTTTAATGAGTTTATCCATTGAAAATGTACCTTGATTTGCAATATTAGATTTAACATCACAAATTGGTTTCGGTTGAATTGGATCAAAATATAATATGATTATTTTATTCTTCTAAGAGTGCGTTTTACTTATTTTCCACTCTCTGCATTTGCAACACCAATTCATGTCTCCAAAGCCATTACTCACTAGCCTTCAATTAAACTGAACAGCATTCAACACATCCTTTGCCATATTTCATAGTGCTTGAAAACGGGGAGATCCTTACTGTGTTTGCTATTCGAGAATGCTATCTCTTTGTTAGTTACTTGCAGGATCAGGAGAACAGTTATTGTCAAGAAAACTTGATCAGGACTTCAACTTGTTAATCTCATGTCAAATGCACCCCAACAAATATTAAAAAGTATAAATATATCATTACAACAGGAGATACAAAATACACATCAAAAAAATTCATAGATATATACCACGCGGGCTTGTCGTCACAATATAAAACCCGAGAAGCAATTGAGGAACTAAGAATGGACAATCATAACTACAACAAATAAGATTAAAAGAATTTTCCCCTTTTAAGAACAAAAAAATGTGGATTGTTCATGTAGTCAGTCCGAAGCCAAAAGCTTCATGCCACTCAATCCTAGAAGAGACGTGGAAATAGGGGGTTGAAACCAGCAAAAACAACCTTTTCTTTTTTGCTTTTTCTTAGAAGGATGTTTCGAGAAGATTTTGCTCAAAGCAGAAGAAGGGAAGCTATGAACACAGCCAGAGTGGAAAAGAAGAAGCAGACAGCAGTCTTAGGCTGTGCATTTCCGGGTGGTGCTTTGGTTCCAGCACTGGGACCGGAAGCTGGGGCTGGGGCTAGTTTAGCAACAGAAGGCAAAGGTGGCTCTGCAACTTCAGATTCTGTTAAGGGTGGGAGTGGAGCTTCAGCCGGAGGCAAGTAACCTGAGGTAATTAGTCCATACAGACCACCTGGTTGAACAGGATCCATGTAAACAGGTTTGTTGGCACCCAAATTTAAGCATTTGTTCCCTGCAGTAAAATGGAGAACAAATATTTCAGTAATAAAGAGGCTCACAAAAGAGGACCACATGGTACAGCAGAATTTGCTAGCACTCACTTCTGTATCTGTCAGCAGTTTTAGGGAAGTCTGTGATGATACCATCAATTTTTACTCCATCAGCATTCACATATGAGTTTATCTCAATGGTTGCATCTGAGAAGAAATCCCATGCTTGAGAAACAAACTCATTGCTGAATGTTTCTACAAAAACTGAGAGGTTAGCAGCGTTTAGCGTTGGCGCAGTCTTCGTATTGTAAATCAAGAATTTACTATTACTAGCAAATACGGAGTCCTTGCTGACAACCACAGCACTAGCAAAGTTCTTTATATCCTCAACAGCTGCATTAGCAGCATCACCGACAGTCTCGTCAATCTTGTACACAAGTTTATAACTGGTTTTCTCTTTGAACTTTAGCAGTACAGAGCTATTAGTGGACTGAATATAAACCTTTTGGGATCCTCCTTTATCATAACCTGCCTTGCTCAAAGCATTGATGACTGCATCAATCACACTTAATCCTTGTTTTTCAGCAAGATAGGCTGCATTCTGAGAAGAACAACAACAACACAATATACATGTTAGTAAATAACAGATGAAAGAGAAGAGCAAAAAATTATTTACACGCTAGAAAAATACAATAATTGTTTTTGTTTATCATTACCATAAATAAAAAAACAAATATTCTTTTCTTGGTTGAAATAAATCATGGTGAAGAAGAGTTAGTGCAGAAATAATTGATGTGAAAATCACATATATACGAGCTTTGGGCAGGTGAGTCATTTGGTTTTTGGTTTCCAAAGTTCGAGTAGAACTTTAGAGAGAATACATGGCTAACAAAAACAAGTGCAATAGGTCTTGTAACAATTTGATAGAACTAATGCATGATAGTCTTGTATTTCCTACTTTTATTTCCATCATCATTGGAAGATGAAATCAATCTTAAGAGTTATTAAAATAACTTACGCGACCCTGAGCCATTTTCACAAAAACATGCCGTAATTCTTATAAAAAAGACTAAATCTTTAAATAACAGCCGGTATAATAAATATAATACGGAATCAATAGATATGAAAGAACGAACCTCAACAATGATAGAGACACCAGATAGAGAAGTCTGATTTTTTGCCAAGGACAAGAAATCTGATAGCGTCAACAAATTCCCAGCATTCTTAAATTTTGGGTTCCTGAACAGTCTGTATTTTGCAAAAGGGTTCAATATGGAGGCTGCAAGGCAAATAGAGAAGCGAAAAATATGTCAAATATTTGTTGTAACAAATTCTGGAGGCAACCAAGTGAAAGGCACCAAAATATGAGGGGAAATTTTGCCGTGGTAGTTTATCAGTGAGACATGATTGTCCCATAAGATGTAAAGCTAATTTTCTCATTATTCCCAGAAACACGATTTGTATCAATGTGCATATATTTCACGCTGAATTTTGGCTAATTGAAAGTATCAGTCAAGTAAGCTTTGACAAGTCTGGATTAACTCCATGCAAATACAGATATGTAAAAGAACATTGACCTTATTGAATAGCAAACAACTACAGAACTTTCTCTGACTTACAGGTCAAGTTTTTTATATCATTCCACGTCAGGTTGAATGCATATATACCACTGACAGATTTGATCTCGGGGATAATAATGGCCAAATTACTGAATTTTGATTGGGTAACTGTTGTACTCTCTATGAGATCAATGGAGTTTAAGCAAAATGGTGTTCCATCTTTTGACATTTGAACAGGACAGTCAAGAACATCCACACCATCAGCTATGGCCTTATTATATGCTAAATCGGTACAAGCAGGATAATCTCCACTAGCTCCATATTTTGAGATGATCAAAATTTTATCTGAAACATGATAAAAAAAGTTCAAGAAACAAGTCAACAATGATGCATTTGATGCCATCAAATGATAAAAATCATATAATAATAATAAATAAAAAAAACTAGAAATCGCTAAAGAACAAGATGAGAATACACATTCCAAAATTAAAACTACGTGTCACCTTGTTCTGTAGCATTGGTGCCAACGTGAGAAAAGCAACCTGCATTACAAAATAACCCAATATCATTTAGAGAAAACAAGAATTGTAAACACAGGCATACTGACATGTTTTGATGTTACAATTTATGAGTGAAGAATGCAGGAGCAGCTAATATTGAGCACATGTTTATGCCTCATGTTTATACGATGTATAAGAATGTTAAAATTGAGGAAGGAAATTCAATTAAGGATAGCTGATAAGCATGCAATACCTAGAAGACAAAATTCGCTATTTGCTTTCATGCAGTAAGGAAATTGAACAGCGTGACAAAATCTTTTACGATAGATGCTTAAAGAGCATACATCTGGACCCTATCTGAATCTGATCAGCATAAAGGGCCGCCCAAGGCTGAACCTAGTTTAAGGTGGGTGCATGAAAGCAGACGATGGTGAGTGATTGACTAAAAGATTTTATTTTTGATAACTTTATTCATGCACTTGTGACAGGATTCGAGCATGAAATCCTCTGGTCAAAGTCAACATAAATCCCACCAGCATTAGTGGCATCCTCATGCAAAGTGTGCACGTAACTCCTTACTATAATTGGATATAGTAAGGATAAATTACCTTATAAATATACCAGTTCTGGGCAGATTGATTCAGAAAGTCCAGGATAGTGCATCACTTGGCAGGTTTATTCACACTATATACCCTAGCTTTGAAGAGATTAAAAAAATTTAAAACGCAGGAAGAAAATTGAGGAGTTGGCCATCCATGGTCACTTCTAAAATTGGATAGGCATGCAAACGCAAGGGGCACATTTAAGACAAATCACTCAAACGCTGTGAACAATAAGAAAATTTTATTTGATGGAACCTTACAGCTCTAACAACTCCATTCCATGGAACGAGGACAAAAACTACGAGTCTGTTAGGAGAAACTTCTCCATAAGCTAAAATTAAGTTATACATGGCATAATTTGCAGAAATGATTTCTTATTAACTTCAAAATCTAATTTTAACTCATGGATAAGCTAATTTTAGCTTATAGAGAAGTTAATTTTGACTTTTCTTTCTTATTTTTCTCTTCTAGCTAATGAAATTTTTTTCTGCAAACAGACTCTATTTGTCATTGAAATCTATTTAACTGTTTGAATGAAAAAGTTTGAAGGGGTAGGGATGATAGCAGATTTTTCATTTCTAAATTTAGATGTTAATAAATTCCCGAACAGTTAGAATGTTTACATAAAACAAATACTTTTGCTCTCTAACATTTTCCATCCAAAAACTACCCAACGTCAACAAGTTCTTGATCAAATCAAATGTGTTCTATTTGTGACAGGCTATTCTGACAATATGGGAGGAAAAATAAACAAACAACTTACCTATAGCTTCAAATGGAGTAATGGGGAAATCAGACAGCACACCATCAACAGAGAATTCACCGTTGTCTACGAACTGGAGGTACTCGGCAAGTGGATCAAAACTGTAATTGAAGCTAAATGGAACATCATTCACAAAATCTGACGCAAAAACTTCCAGCCCCGCTTTATGTGCATCCGAGACCAAAGATGTATGTGGTTGTAGATAAAGAGTTGCATCTACAGGCCATATGTATCCCTTTGGAACAAGAATTCCAGAAGCAAATGTCTTGATAAATGTAAGATTCTTTAAAAGCGAACCGTAAGTCTGATTGGTTGATGGTTCTACGTCATCCTGACTCATAAACCTGAGGACCAGTTTTGTTGTTTTTGGGTTGAAGCGTGTTGATATACCTCTCAGAAAATCAACCTCGGGTGAAGAGATATAACTGAAAACTATTCTTCTAGCAGCTGAAAGCACAAAGTTTCTCATACTCAAATTGTGCTGTGCGTAGAATGCATTGTGCTTTAAAATATCAGAGAAAACAAGAGTTAGTTTTAAAACAAACAAGGAGATTGAATCATGAGAATGGATTATGCATTCATTCTATTTACCTGAATATTCAACCATATTCCTTTTGGTTTTTGGTTCAATGTAACCAAATCATCAACAGTAAGGATTTGAAAAGCATTGCCATCAAACCGGCTGGATCGAGAGAGTACTCCCTGAGTTACTGCCCAGAAACAAAAAACTGTCAGCAACTGTATAAAAAAAAACAACTACAAAGCTCATTCGCAAGTTGAGACAGATATAAGTTACAAAAGATCCTGCATTAGTTGCTAGACATTAAATCAGCAACACGCGTTTACCATAGAAAATAACCACTTAGTCTAGTCGATCAAATACTGAAAATCTATAACTATTAACAATAAAAGCACGTGTTTTAAATAAATAAAACTCACATATTTGATTGCCTAGCTCCTTCATAGTGTAATCCAGAGAAAAATAGCCACTGATGGGTGCTCCATTAACCATGTAGGTTTTGGTTTTATTTGGGTAAGTGGCTGAAATGTCGGTAGAGTTTGCAAGATTTAACTCTGGTTGGCAAATCCCAACTCCATCTTTTGTTAACTGCACATCACACCATATATAGACATCCGGTCCACACGTTATTACCGCCAAATTATAGGCACCATCACTAGAATCAGGAAATATCCCTGAAAATCCACCACGTGCCACAACCAACGGTGGACCTCCTGCGAAACAATAATACAAGTAAGTTTCAAAACACCTAGCACAGTGAAAATAGTGCCAACAATCTTTGACATTATATCAACAACCGTATTCACTCAGTGGTTGGCTTCTGTATTACATGCAAAAAATTGTTCGGATTAAGGAACAGATTCCACATCAACCACTTCGGTTTGAGGGACTATTAGAGATTCCACGTCAACTAGTGATGAAGTGGTTAAAAACAAGTACATAACATATCTTGAGCCAAAACCATAACTCAGGTGAATCGACAAGGAGTTCATTCAGCTAAACTTTCGCTAATAACAAATAACAATTGTTATTAAGCTTGAGAAACGTCATACTATTAGGAAACACGACATCAATTATCCACAAGCCAACTCAGAGCTTAGCTAATCCATCGATTCAAATCCGAACTCAGCTCAAACTAAGCAACAAAAGTCGAGAGAAAAGAAACGCACAGATCCTACACTCGGTAACAGGTTAGTCATATTGGATAAGAAAAGAGGAAGTGAAGAGAAGGAAAACCAAAGATCGAAGTAAGAGAAGATACATTAGAAGAATGAGTGTGACAAATTTTACCGTCGAGCGTGTTCCAAGCAGATCTCTGAGCAGAGACGAGAGCAAGGAGAGAGTGAAGAAGAAGCACGGCGAGTGGAGCAGAGAGAGCGCGTGGATTCCACATCCCGGCAACCTTGGCAGATTACGACGAACTGAAGAACCCAACCACCTCAAAACAAACTTATAGAAAGAGAGAGATAGTGTGTGTTTTTGTGTGTATGAGAGAGAGAGAGAGAGAGAGAGAGAGAGAACGAGGTCTTAACTCCGAAGCAGAACTTTTCCAAAGTGGTAATGGCCTTTTAGTATTTTCTTTCTTGCCTTATATGATTGTGAATTTACATGTATATATTATTTAATTTAATTTAATTTAATATTGCTGTGTGAAAAGATAAAATAAAAATAAAAATAAAATGCTGAAGAAAGTGAACAAGCTGGCAAGAGCTAAGCCGCGGTGTTGACTGATGTAGCAGGTGGTGAGGTGTGGGGTCCAGAACGTGGTTGTCAAAACTCTGGCAAGAGACACGTGGCGGAGGTTGATTGGTGGCGTGAGGTGATGTGAGGAAACGCGCAAAACTGCGATGTTGTGCATGAGTGAGTGGGTGTCCACCGTGGAAGGACAACGTGCGACCGTGAATTGCGACTGCGTTTTGATTTGATGGTGGTGTTCGATTCTTGGTGAGTGAGTGAGACTGCTCCCACTTCTCCAATACAATCCAACCATTTCATTTGTTCCCTCCCACCACTTCTCCATGCCCTCCTTTCTGTCCTTTCTCCATCACCACTGCTATTAAAGTATTTCAACAATTAATTATAACACTAAATATGATTTTAACTATTTCTAACTATATAAATTTACAAATCTTATGTAAGAAAGATCTTAAAGAAAAAAATTTGTTTGCAAATCAATAATCGTTTAGTCCATAAACCTTTATTTAAATTCCATTAAAAATTGATTGTTTTCAATGTCAAAGCTCCGATCACGCGTTTTTATACTGAGTTTTTATTTATTTATTTATTTATTTTGCTATAGCATTAATAAAACTTATATCTAGAACATCATATAAACTATAACAAAATTCCAACGTTAATCTAATGTGTGGTTCTATAATAAGTTGAGACAACTGAAATGATTCCCGATACAGATTAACGTGAATTAATGAACGGATGGAGTTAGAAATTAATGCTATACAGACAAAGCCAAAATATATGTGAAGTTGGCTATTTTGTCAGTTAGTGGCATGGTAATACCATAACATGGATCATGTTGACCTTTGTTAAATTTGGGTTGAATATAAAAATATTACGATAAGTGTTTTCTTCTAAATGTTTTACTTTTATGAACTTCAACTCAAAATCCGTAATATAGATCTGGTTTTCGTTTTTTTCAAAAGTTATGGTTGTTAAATTTTTAATGGCATTAATTCACAAACATGTATTAATGACGTTTATAACTGGTAAAAAAATTAAGACTGATACTAAAGTAGGTATGATTTTTCAGAAGCTAATTTTGTTGGTTGCTCACCTCATTTAAAGTATGTTGCACTTATAATCTCTTAATTGGTATAAAGGTAAATAAAAATTGGTTCTTAGATTCTATATATTTAACTCTTAAACTAAAAAAGTGGATTTAGTTTCCAATTAATTGTTTATGAGAAAAGTGTTTTTATATACTTGGAAGAGGTGAGTGTAACTTTCAGAAAAGGGTTTTAGCTAACGCATAAATCACGTGAGATATGGTTTTAATTTGTAATTATGAATATAAATTGAAATCAGTAGATTAAATAAATTCGTCTTTTTTTTTTTTAATACTAGATAGAAATTTGAGTGGTATTCATTTAATGGATAAACAAATTTGATTTTGAAAATCGCAGATAATCCGTTAAAACAAAAACAGAACTTTCACATTAACGTGTATGACTGGGAGTTTGTAGTCATTAATTTGAATTATGATGATGCTCCAGTTCCACTCCCATGAATTAATTTATCTATGTTTCTGGTCTATTACAAGATATCATTGTCCTGCTACGACCTCACTCTCACCTTCAAAACTGATTTTTAGGCCAAGACCATTTCAAAATCCCTGATAGATACCACTTAATTTTTTCAGGTTTCTCTCATTAAAATATTTTATTTATTAATTTAGCCCACACTTTCCTCTCTTCCACCTTTTCTCTTTGAATGCGTTGAATTTAAAAATTTATATAAGAGTTGTCTTTTTTTACTCTCTTTTTTCATTATCTTAGCTGGCAGTGGTGATGACAAAAGAAAGGTTCTTTATTTATTCCTTAAACTAGAAAAAGTATAGATGACACCTCTTTCTGATTGTATTGTAATTCAACTTATCCAAGTGGTTTCAATATATATACTATTATTGGAAATAATCAACTTTATTATTTGGGGAAAAGGGGTTGTTAGGTTAAAGCTTTTGGTGCCTAAAAGTTGACCAATGAGATATGTAAAATTGTGAAAATAAGTAATTTTGTTATGATAACACTTTGCGTTTAAATCTAGTGAGCATTATTATTCAGACAAAACTATCCGTTAATGTGACTGATCAAATATAGTGCATAAGCTGTCAGGTCAGGTTGTGACAATTGAAGATGGTAGGAATTAATGTTCAAATAATTGTTGTAATGCAAGAACCAAATCCAAAATGGCATTGAGCATTAGGACTAAAGTTGTAATTTAACTTGGTCTTGAAAAACGACATTCTGTGGCAGAGAGTGCGATACCGCGTACTTTGATTTTCTGAATATATGTTTATCTGACAAAAAGAGAAAACATCCAAATAACGACATGAAGTTGAAAAATCAAACAAATGCAGAAAATGATTCCAGACAACAGTATTGGCGACAATTTTGATAGCGTAATGAAAGCATTAGAAAACAAATGATGTTTTGAGTCAAGGATGTGCTCTTGAAGTCTAGAAGTTGGGACCATAATATGTTTGATTTAGTCATTAAGATATACATGCATCTCAAGTTTTTAACTTGGTTACAAATGTTCATCTTTGTTGGTTCTTTGTGTTGGAATTGTTTGCTGTTTTTTTTTTTTTTTTTTTTCATTCCTTATGCCGTCTTTTTTTCATGCTTCATATTAAGAACTCTTTCACTAAGGATACTACTATCATGAACCTTCTTCTTATTACAATTATGCTTGCCATGATGTTTATTATCAAAGAAGACATCGTAGGAAGATAGATTGAGTGTGCAAAATATAAAATAATATTTTTTTGTCAGTTTGTTCTCTTTGTAAAAATTGAGAAGATATTTTTAAAATTAAAATCAATTATTTTATATCGGATTAGTATGATTTTAGTAAAATTTGTTTTATAACTCTTTTAATGGTTGATGTTTCCGGCATATGTAAAGGTTTTTATATTAAACAATTATGATACAGTAGGTATAACCGGAAGATTATGATAAATGAGATATTAATCAATTATATAAAAGAATATAATTTTATTTTTAATCTAAAATCTTAAAATATTAAATTAAATTTATTTTATTTATAAATTATTTAATTTTCTCATTTTTATTTAATATAAAACTTCAAATTCACATTTAGATGCTTAACACAGAAAAATTCAAGGAAAAAAAATAAAGAATCTTAAAAACACAAGAAGAGAAAAAAAATACCAAAAAATCAGTAATAGGAAAAAAAAAACAAATACAAAAAAGAAATTACTTCCCCTCCACTATTATCACGAGTACCTAAGAAAAATATGGTTATGCATTGATTACAAGAAAATCAAACTCTCTCAAAATACAAAGATAAATTTAAGTTATTTATAATAATAATTAACATAAATTTGAAGGTGTTTATATCATATAATTACTTTAAAATAAATTTAGGTATCCATGTAATATGTAAAAATATTAAAATAATAGACATAATTTTTTTATTTTATTTTATTCGTGTAAGCTACAATAACCTTCAAAACAAAATTCATCAAAATGCAAAAGTGTGCAGTAAGTTACACATATGATAAGTTAAAATCTTATCTTAAATAAAAAATTCATAAATATTTTTTTTTAATTTTAGATTAAAAATATATTATATTTTCTTGTAAATATGAAACTCTTTTAATATTATTTTTAACAAAAATTGTTTAAAACATCTCTAAAAGAAATTATTACTAGAGTTGTTTAAAAATAAAAATAAATATTTTATTATAAATTTCACGTATAAATTATTTAAAAATAGAAAAAATTACTTAAATTTTAAAAAAATTATTTAAAAATAGAAAAAATTATTTAAAATTAAAAAAAATTGTTTATATAAATAATTATAATTAAATTTTAAACAACTTAATTATAATATTTATAATAAAATATTTAATTTTATTTTTTAATAATTAGTTGAAAATTCCTTTTAAAATGCTCTTGTCCGAAATAAAGTCTTCGTACTTTTTTTTTTTTTTTATAGGCCAAAACGTACTGCCAACAACTTGGACGGATGAATTCTGAAGGAACTAGGAACTTGGATTCCTTGATCTTAGCTTTAACTTGCGTTTTATGGCCCTTGGCCAAGTACTTTTTCAAGACTTGACTAGAAGGTCTTTTGCCTCCAATTGTACACTACTCCACATTTTAAATATTGGCAACTATTAATTAATCCTAGAAAATTTTATTATAAAATAAGATATATATTTAGCGGATTAAGACTTTCAAGACAACGACAAACATACATTCGGCTTCAAACCCTGTACTGGTTTTGCGGGCCAATAAATTGCAAAGTCCCATCACTAGACCAAAGACCGAACACAGATTTTCCAGTTTTGTTATTTTTTGTATCTCATCCAACAACTTCAATACCCCATTAATACCAAAACCTTACTACAAAATAACACTAGAAATATAAAAAAAAAAAGAGAAAATTAATAGCAAATAATTAATTGCAAAAAAATATTTATTAGTGTATACCAAAAAACTAAATTGTTAAGCTGCTGCATAATTTCAAATTAAATTTATCCTGTCGAGGAAGTTTACTAACTATAGTAATTTGTAATCAAATCAATAAATGGCGAAGAGTTTTAAAATTTGGTAAAGGTTATCATTTATATGCTTTAAAATTATTAATAAATAATAAATAAATAACTAATATTCAAAGACTAAAAAAAATAGAAAATGCATCTAAAACATAAAAGAATAATATTTTCTTTATAATAAAGATTATAATAGAAAAGTAAAATATATTTACTAAATTACACTTTTTGATATTTAATTATTACAAATTTTGTTATCCATATTTATTTTACCCATTTTACTATAGGAAGTTTTCAATTTTCATAATTTTTTCTAATTAGTTAATTTTATAGAAGAGTAAAATAAAACAATACATTTTAACTAATTCTTATAAAAAAAACCGTAATATTAAACTCGTTATTTTTATTTATAAAAATTTATGTTATCATTTTATTAGAAATTTAATATTTTAATAAAATTTATTGTTGAAGATATGACTAAATTATGCTATTTAAGTTAGAAACATACTAATTTGAAAGTGTTTCTTATTAAAATTGGTTAGGATTATTTTATCATCTCAACAATTCATATCATAGTACAAATCTCATTTTGTAAGTTGGTTTTACAATATTAACTTAAATTTATATTCATTTTTTAATATTTATTATAATAAAAATTTTGATAATAAAATTTGATGAATATTAAATTGTAAAATCATAAATGAATTTAAAATATTTTATAAAAAAATTATATAATCCAAAATACATGAATGAAATATGAAACA